GTGAGTGAGTGTGTGGTGAGGTTTGTCAACACGCTTTTGGACGGAGGTCGTGTTGCCTCAACTCTCATTTGTGAAGAGCTATATGGTGCGTGAACGCTGGTTCGCGCAAACGATGCGCCATGTGAGCGCTGGCATGTGTAAGAGTTACCGCGGGCGTGCATGCATTGTGCAAAAAAACCGTGCTGTGCAACCTCATTGTAGGGGCATTGCTGTTGCTGCCAGTGAATAGACGTCATTCCATGGTGGGCGATGCTAGTGGTCCTGGCGAAGGGGGGTTCCCCAAATGATCAATTATTCAATGAGTCACCCCTATGGAAGGGGTGGGGGGGAGATATCAATGTTTGGTCCCGAGCAGGCTATTCAAGTTATATAGCCCTTTGCTTCGCAAAGCAAACAAAGTAGGGCTTGCCAGTCCGCCTCTCGCGATTACGAGTAGATGAGGAAATCACCGGCCCATGGAAACTAAAAACGTGACCAGCCCGGCCCCACCCTGGCCAACGGGCATAAAGAATGATGACGGAAGATCAACGCTGCGCCAGTGCAAGCACCCGATGGCCTGGTCGCAACGCTTTGCGGGAAATGATTCTCAGAGATCAAGGCGCCACGTTTTCGCTTTAAAGCCGGTTCTCCTGGCGGGACAATAGCCAAAACCAGTAGTTTCATCTGATCGCCCTCGATACTTCAGCCTCTTGGACCGACCAATCGTGAGGCGGTGTTCAAAACAATGGAAATCGTTTATATACGTCAACGAGTCATCTTGCCAAACTCTCCGCGAACCCAGGGCCCAGCGTGCTTGTCCAAAAATACGTGCTAAACACACCTCTTCCACAACTGGTGTCATATCGACCGCTTCAGAAGACGGCAGTCAAACAAAAGCAGACTACATGGGTCTTCCGGCAGAGAAGTGGCGCTTGCCCACATGCCAAACAGTCGTTCGGAGCCGCCGAGTCGTACACTGTGCACTTTGCCTGTTGCACCGCCCACAGTTTGCTCAAAACAATAGTGTTTGTCCAGAGTATTTGTTCAAAGCCTAACCCCATATGCCCATATGGCAGATGTTTTGCGGCCGTCCCTTCTCTAGCTTTGTGCCTCCGTTATGTAAGGGGAATTATATACAAAGGCAACAGGCCTGACCGGCCAACCATGCTGGTGCAGGAGATGGTTGCATTCCGACATCCCTTCATCACTCATTCACCTTTTCAACGTCTCCTCAAAGACATGAACCGTGCCACGGAGTCCCGAGCTCGCCTTGCCTTGTCTATGAAACGCTCAGATGCTCAAATGATCTCCAATGTATCTGACTGCAGAACCAGAATAATCAAGCAGTCGGCTGGTCAAGGATCCTTGGCATTATGTCCAGCTTGCTGTGTCAAAGGTTTTGTTGAGCCCAGCAGGAACATCGGATGGGCAGCTTCCATGCGTGGAGGCCTTGCAGGTCGAGTCTTCCATGGCTCGCCTGGCCTAGTCTTCCAGCTTGACGCTTGGTCTGGAGTGCCACAAAAGCGAATGTTGTCAAAGAAGATGCCGCTCGTCCTGCGAGATACAGAAGATGGACTAGAAATCCATTGGGCGTTGAGGCAGGTCGACAGGACAAAGCAAGCATGAGGAACCAACCTGCCCTCCTACCTTCTGTGGCAAGCAGGTCATCCCAAGAACCAAACGGGAGCGGACATCAGGCATCAACTCAACGCAGCCATGGCATCCCGACCATGGCATCCTGACGTGTAACTGGCCACGACCAGCTCAGGCGATGATGGCTGCAAGTGGGACCGGCTTGGGACACCAAGGCAGCACCCAGCGTAGGGCATTCGCTTCGGCTACACCACAAGCATGCGCACGGGAAGGAAGAGCGCGTAGTGGAAGCCCAGAGCGGACGGGTGTGGGGGTGTCGTCACCGCAGGCAGATCGACGCTGGGGGCCTGAGCCACATCTTAAAGGCCACGCGAAGGCACGCTGTCGAAAGACAGGATCAGTGGCTGACACTAATCAAGGAGGATGGGTGCAAACTCCAAGTGCGATTCCCAAAGCCCATAAGCCGCCAGTCTGTCAATGAACGTTTCACCATTTTGGTTGGTGAATTTGCCACACCGAAGAACTCAGGAATTCAAGTATCAAAGACACCGGCAAACCACCAGCAACATTAAGTTAGAACAACATCAATCCCAAACGAACACGCAATCAACAAGAGATGCCTCCTGAAGGCCTGGCAATCAAAGACTCACTCGTGCAAACCGAGCACAAAGCAAACTAAGCAAGCCGCCACTTGGTTACACCAATATTAGCTTAGAAGCCTGGAGCCACCCTGGAGGGAAGGTGAAACCACGGGAGTGGTTCAGATGTCAGACAACATGAGCTTCCGAGCTCAAACCACCTCATCATGTGTTCAAAGCATGTTTGTTGTTGCTTAGAATTGTTGCCGTGCAGGCATCATGCCGTTTGCATACCGCACTTAGCCAATGACCCAGCTTCAAAGCCGACATATACTGAACGCAAGCACGTACTCTGCAGGAAAATCGATAGTGATAGTGTACGACTCCATGTGCCGTTTGTGAACATCCACAAGCTGCTGTTGTATGTGATGTGTCGAGCCATGATGCGAAGTGATGCGCTCTGTGGTGTGTCCTGCGCAACGAACTGCGTGCATCTGCAGCATCCCTGCAGAGCGCGGAGGCGAACGGCCTGAACCGGCACACTCTGCCGCCCCACACGAGAAAGAAGACCGTGAGAACTAGCAACCAAGTCAGCCAAAACATTGGACACCCTAGAGCTGCAAACGCGAGATCGCCAAACGTAAGCAGCTGCAAAAGTATTGCTGTGCTGAACGAGCGGATTCACGCGGGTAGGTGGACCGTCCCAAGGCTTGCGCTGGCAAGTGTATCTGGAATGCTTTGCCCTTTGAGCAGCGTCTTACAGCTCAATCTCAGCTCAATGCAGCCAAAGGCGTGCGATCGCGATCCCGTGCGTTCATCAAACTCGAGGTTGCGATCCCCCAAAAAAGAATCATGCTCCGCAGCGTCTTCATTGACCTTTTTTCTGGCATGCAAGACTTCGGTACCGTCAGCATGGGAAATAGTTCTTTCGCGTTGCAGCGGTCTCAACCAATTCCTATGTACAACAAGTGTTGGAAGACCTGGGTCGGATACGGAGGTTTCCCTCCCACGTGCTCAGCTCGTGCTCAGCTCGTGCTCAGCTCGTGCTCAGCTCGTGCTCAGCTCGGTACATTCGTGCCGCTGCTGAAAGCGCATCTGTTCGGCTCACTAGGTTTGTCCGTTCCCTCGAAATAGGGGACCCTGCAGTGGCCGAGAGTGGGATGCAAAAAACATGAAAAGCAGTGGCCGGCAGTGCGGCAGTTCGGCTCTGAAATAAGGGCATCTGCACGAGTTAGGCTGTGCTTACCACATGTCAAATCAATCTTCAGACACGTGACATGTCAATCATTCTGTCAGCGAAAAAAGAAAAATGTCAGGTTACACCTGCAAATACTCGGTCATCGAATCCCACCCAATGCTCTGCACCTCAGTGGGCGAAGACGGTGCCGATCGATTCATTGGGCGAAGATTGGGCAATCCAGATTGGACGTCTCTGCGCACGAAGAGATAGCATTGGATCACTCGAATCTCACATCATCTTTGAGCAGTCTCTAGTCACAGTTTCTGATGACTGACAAAGCGAACTGGGAACTCCCACAGGCTCCGGTGGTGGGGGTGGGAGATCATGCTTCGCCAACAATTCCTATCAGAAAGAGGTTTGTTTGGTTCTGAGGGAAAACATTCTTGCCCTCCCAAATTCAAATTACAGTAAAGACATATATAGAACACCACCACTCTGTCCAACGGAAGTGCAACAAATCGTGCCAACTTCTTCGATTTCGCACAAACATCGACAAATGGACAAAATCATGACAGTAAGGAGCCCTTCAAAATCTTCAAACTATACTAGCAATCCCCAATCCACTTTAAACACACCATGACACACCATGACGCAGAACGGACACCAAGTCGAGTCGTTTCGAAGCTCGTCGCCCTCTCCTCGACTCGCAAAGCTCGTTGCTGCAGCATGTCCTGGGTCGCTGCCGTGCCACTGCCGCCGTGCCCTGCTTTGGGACACAGAACTGGAGTCAGCCCCAATGCATCGCTTGATGACACAAATGCACGAAGACAACTGACGCTAGCTGACAGCCATGGCCGTGGTCGACGAATTCTGCAAACACCTATGCCCACTCGTTTAGAAAACGCAGTGAGAAGTGTGAGAAGTGACCCTTATAATCCCTTATAAGTTTAAAGTCGCTTGTCCATCCCGGGATCATGGTTCCTCTGCACCCCCGGAGGGAGAACGCTTCCAACGTGAAAACCATCGCGTCTGCTCCCACGGACACGGACTCCCCCCCTCCTTGACCATGGACTGCCAAGCTTGAGGCACCACGTGGAACCTGGACGAGACCGAACGAGTTGTTCTTCCACCGGAACCGGACCTGACAGCGCCGAAAGGACAAGAAGAGACCCATCTCGATGGAACAGGTTTGAAACCACCCAGAAGACTGCAGATGGTCCTTTTCTTCATATTTCTTCAACCACGAATCCATTCTAGTTTCAAATACCATGGCCGTTTCTTGGCTCTTTCCAGAGCCACTTCCATCAAACACCCACCAGCTTTCTTCGCCCCCCACCGGCGGCCCGGCCAGCCGCCCCTTGTGGCCCTTGACGCGGCCTGACGAGTCCAAGACCATCTTCACTGGACAGCGCCAGGAAGAAGAAGCCCAAGGCCTCAGACCCCACACGCCATCCACCGAAGCCACCGCCGCGACCAGACACCGAGTCGTCGCCGGTGCGTGCGTGCGTCAGTCCGACGGGTCGAGCGTGAAACGTTTTCTGAGGCACGGACCGCCCAGGATAGGCAGTCGAGCAATCTTCTCACCTCAACCGAAACTCCGGCATGTCTTTTTCAAATAAACAACCGTCTCAGAACCTCTTGTATCCGTGAAATAAAAAAAACAGCTTTCATGAGATTCACCTTGGTACTTCATTTTGGGCTCAAGCCTGGCCAGAGCCCCCAACGCCTCACCGGTGCCATCCGCAAAACGCACACCATCGCGCTGGAACGCAGCTGTGAAGCTCTACAGCTGTTTGTGAGGCCAGCACCCTTCATTGCCTGGGAAGGAGGCGCAATCAAAGCACGTTTGATGAAGGAGTTGGGTGGGAAGTGAATGTACTAAGAGAGAGGCAAAACAGCAGGAAAACCACAAAACTCCAAGTAGATACATAGATTCTAAAAAGAATCATAGGACGCACGCTAAAACGGAAGCAGTGCAAACTTGGGGTTGGTGGCTGATTCCCTCAAGGAGCTGTTCAGAGGCTTGGTCTCGACAAGCTGCTTTAGGAAGATTGTGGTTATCAATTAAGGTCTATTGTGAACTGTGGTCAAAACCCGTCGTTGCACTGGTTGCGACAGAAACACATGTAGTGAAAATTGAGCCCTTTTCACCCAGCGAGCGTCCTTCCTAACAAAATTTCGCAAACTGGTCATGGGAGGTTCACTCTTGGCTCATGTCTTCCAGTCGTGAGCTTCCGGCAAAGGCTTCCACGGAAGGTCTCACCTCCTTCGGCAGTTGATCCTGGTCCGACCGAACGCTGAAACCGAACCCCACGAGATCGAACGAGAAACCTCTCTGGGTTTGACACCTGTTGTCTCAAAGCAACACGAGTCAACACGAGTCAACGTTTGCCCCGTTCAAAGAAAGCACAAAACGATTTACTATGATGTACCAAGGGATGAGTGAACAAAAAAAAAGAAGCCTTGCGGGGGTCATTCCAAGCCATTCCAAGCCAGATCCCTTCGGTTGAAGTTCACAGACCGCACAGACCGCACGGCACCCCCGCGCCTTGAAGCCATCCAACCTCGCTTGCAATTGACGCCACTCACTTGGACGATGAGCCCCAGCAGCCGTGGATTTGCAGAGGGCCTCCCAGCATGGAGCGCATGTGTTGGAGGGCTCTCTGGATGATTTATGCTGATTTAATCCATTTTTTGGGAGTGCACGGTGCAAACCCTTCAAACAGCTCCTCTGCACCGTGATTGGCCAAAACAACAGCTGAATGCAAAATCGTTTTCTCAAGGGCTCATTGGTCTCCCAATTGATCCCTCCAAGCTGAAGCTCCAAACTACAGGAACTCAGCTGCCGGGCCTTCCAAACCGTTGAGAGCTCGCTGCTAACTTGATCTTTCTCCTCCAACTTAGGAGTTGAGGGTGGGTCCAAGAAGTACATGAATATCATGAGGAAAGGGTGGAAAACTTGAGCTGCAGCCTATATTTTTTCAATCTGACATCTGACAAACTCAACACCTGTACATGAACATTTAAAGCATTTGGACAGAGGGAGGGACCCCGAAATAGTTGGAAAAGTCGATCGCTTCAGGCTTCAGGGTCGGTATTTACATGCCATGCATGTTCATGAGGAAAAGACTATCGCCGTCCTCGGGCTGCAACCCTTGCCGCGCTTGCCCTGGCGTGTCTGATGCTATCCAACTGGTCGCAATCACCGCCTCAGAGGCTTATCGCAAGCTAACGCTTCATTGTGACGATGTCCAGTCCGACTTGTTGCTTTGTTCCTTTCTTGCATGGTGTCTTTTTTGGAAAGGATACTTGCTGCGTTAGACACTTCGGAAAATGCACAACTCAACTTGACATGGCGGCCTTTATGTCTGATCGATGGTCCGTTTTTGGTTTTCCTGGCCTTCTTTGGGCTGGGAGTTCTTATGCTTCCAGCCATGGCCTAACCTTGGCCTCCCAATCTTTGTGGGAGCTCAGCCAGGGCTTCGTGCATCCGATGGTGTTCGTTTCGCAGCCTAGGCCGACCCCGGGAGCAAAGGCGGAGGAAACAGGTGAAGATCTGGTTGCCAAGTGGCCAAGTCAGGAGGAATTGGAGAAATGAAGGATTCACAAACCTTTGCCAGCGCCAAGTGGTAGGACAGAAAAGAGAAGTCGATCACATCACTTCCATACCTTGGATGTCTAAGAGTTAAACATCAGTCGACTGCCGATGTTCCAAGCTCTCATGGTTGCCTATCACGCCAAGCCAGTGTCTCATGTTTGGGCTCTACCGGGTTACGGATCGCTGATATAGACACAGACATCCAAGAGGGACTGAAAGGTGGCAGGGACGATGACCGTTTGAGCCACCTGGGCCACCAGCAAGGCATAGTGACCCAACACCAAGGCAGCTGCACCGGTATAGCCACACCCAAGACCCATGATGGCATGGCTGCACTGCACCATGACCGAGATCCTTAGCGAAAACATATCTTTTTGGGGGGTCTCATGAATTCTGCAAAGTGACTACAATAAGAAAATCATGTCTGTTTGCACGGCCAGCTAAACAATTTGAATGTATCACAGGAAGTTCGCCCATCAAAACCGTGTAAGAGTCGACAGCCAAGGATCAATTGGACATAGGTGTACCTCAACGGTTGAGGCGGGTCCCTCCGTCTCTGGTTCTTCGACAGATCAAAAGTCTTCACCAACATGCATTCGCCAGCGTATGAGTTTTACGCTCGTCCGTCTTGACCGAGGAACTGGGTGTGGGTCAAACACATTGCTGTTATCAATGACCTCCGTTAGTAGCCGTAAGTATTTCCCCAAACAGCATTATCGGATCTTGACACCATCCACGAGGGCTGTAAAAAACATGTGCTCCTTTGGAATTTTGGGGCGCCTCTTGATTGGACGCAAGGTGTATGTTGAGGGAATCTGGTGGGGCCCGGTGGGAGGAGGATACCACATTCCAGCCACATCCAGACTTGAAGAGCTACGGCAGTTGCGTGCCCAGTTGTGTGCGAATCGCTGAGATGGCAGCTCGACCATTGCAGCACCTCAAGCAAACGACTTGACTCTTTCAGTCCGAACATCCGAAAAGGTACCAGGTACTAACGTTGCATGATGTTGATGGTTTGGACGTTGATGCTTTGGATGTTGATGGTTTGCTCTCAAGAGTTTGTCTCTGCTTTTTTCTTGGTATCGCATCTCTCTGTGTCAGCTGCGCTGGGGATGCACGCGATGCGAAAGAACAAAATGAAAGGACCTAAACTGAGAACCCCAAAACACAAACTCTCTCTCTCTCTCTCTCGCATGGAGCCAAGCCGAGAACTTCGAACCCCTCTTTCTCTGATTCACCTTTTTTGACTATTGGAAGACTTGCAGGTTTTTGCGGGGTTTTCTACCAGTCCAACATGGTGGAATTGAAGTCCTTTTGATGCTGGGGGAGTGTAGGGAGCCAACGGGGCAAACCTTGCTCGTGACCAGGGGCGTTGCCATCAATGACATCGCAAAAAATCAGAAACCATTGCTCTGAGTTACCGTGACGTGCCCAGCGTTTCTGTGGGCGTGATTTTCTTCTTCGTCGGAGTCGACGACCAAGCCGCAGTTCCGACGAAAGTTGGCAGCGACAGAGAAGGACAAGCCGTGACGAAACATGTCGGGTTTGTGTATGGCAGACAGGAACGCTGCCACGCACAAGGGCAAAAACATCTATCATTGTGGTACGTATGTTTGAACGCCCGAATTTCAAGTTTTGCTGTGATGGTTTGATAGATGCAGTACAGGCGTTCTTCTGTTGAGCGCGTGCTTGAGGGGCCTCTTGATTGGCTTAGTGCGCATTTGGTTGTGTATGCAGTTGACATTCATCTGCACTGGGAGATCACCTCCATGAGCCAGGGTCTTGTCACTGTGTGGCGCCCCTACCGCATCAGTGCAGTCCTCCTAGTTGCCAAGTTCTGGACATTGCCAATCCTGTTCCGGAGTTGGTATCATGTGTGATGATGAAGCCTTCCCATGGACCACCTGCGTAGATCGCACCATTTTTGCTGCTCTGGTTTTTACCACAGAACAGGGTAGGGAAAGAGAGACCGTTGAGGACGGTCCAACACGACGATCTTGGCGCGCTCCTTGCGGCCAATTTTGATTGAATGCTTTCGGGTCACCGACTTGGAGCATGATGCTCGTAGAAATATCCTGCTGCGACACGTGTCAGCAACCTTCTGGAATGTAACTTTAAAAATTAAACAAAATGTCAACCGAATGTTATGAACTTGAGCAGTTGAACTAATTCCGGAAAGAAGAACTATTTGATAAGTAAACAAGAGTAAAAAAAACATGATAATTAATTGGCCCGGAAAGTTCGGAATTCCAACTAAATTTTTAAAACAACGGTAATAATCGTATTTTTGACATGTTTGATTCCAGGAATCCCGCTAAGAAACATTGCTATAACTATTACTAAACAAAAGCTTCAAACAAGACCATTAACAATTGTTTGTTTAATTCCGCAAAGAGAATTCGTAAAATGATTAACAATAAAAGTGCCTGGAAAGCTCGGAATTCACAACAATCAGTGAAATTAATAAGATTCGTAATTTGGTGATAGAAAATTGTTGACTTTGATAACTTTATTTATTCCGCAAAGGTAGTTAATGAAATGAATGCATTAAATTGGCCTGGTAAGCTCGCAACTCCTAATCAATAGCAAAAACAATAAATTTAGTATTTGCTTGACTGAAAATGATTGGTTTTTAACTCCGGAAAGAGAAAGCGATTCTAATAGTTTTTAAAAATGTGTAATTAGCCTGGGAAGCTCCGAATTCGAATATAATGAGATTATCAAGTATATTTCTAAACATGTTTAAACTATTAAGTTGGCGTTGCATTTTCTAACAATGACTTTTTTGAAGGATAAGTGTTCGAGTTGAAAGCTTCCAAATCTTTTCGTCAATTTTGCAAGATCCTCGTAAGACTGCCTCGTCCTGTTGATACTTTGCAACAGAAACTTGTAAGACCTGTTGTGCTCACCCTCTTTTGCACGATCAAACAAATCAATGTGACTCATACCTCAGAATTGAACTGGTTCGAATCTGTCTCAACAGGATGTCCCGTAACACATTCTCATGAAGTGGTTCGGGCATACCATCAACACGGAGTTGAACAATCTTTTCATCCAGTCTCACCAAAATGGGAGTGCCATTTGCTGGCCACGCAAAGCTGTACTAAGGCACTTGATACCAACGGACAATACAGCTGGACACTCATCTAGCAAAAATATGGCGTACATGGTTCGAGCAGTTGCTTCATCTGCAGTGATCAGGCTGATTGCATGAGGTGCCTTACAAGGATTCTCAGCATCCATGACCTTTCTGCTAAGGAGATCTTGTTCACTCCCTGAGTCAACCAACCATGAAAACTTTCCCTCCCTTGGGCCTTGGGGCCGGACTTGCCACAAGCGGCGGGACTGCCGTTGGGCAAGGTTTCAAATGAATCAGGCCCCTGCAAGCACGGCGCGTGAGCGATGGTTCAAGGCACTTGAAATGGCACGAAGGCTCATTAGGGCTCTCAAACTTACGAACAATCTCAGCCAATTGCCTTGCTCTGACTTTTGCCAGATTGGCTGCTTTCGGATCGCTCGTGGCATAGTGCAGCTTATGCTTGCGAGGCTCCTTGATCATCTTGCAATGCTCCCCTCGAGCGGGGATCGTGTGGACTTCAGGCTTCCTATAGTGAATCTGACCTTTCGGCTAGATGATTTGGATCTACCACGCATCGGAGGCAAACAAGGCTTCTTAAGACATGATGGACTTGGCAAATCGGCTGCCAGACAGGCAAAGCGATTGCGAAGGCACACAGCAGCATTCTTGGAGTCCCCTTTCTTTTCCTTTCCGGGTTTAGGGGAATCCTTTCTGGCCTTGGTCTTTGCGGCCGGAGCTGCTTTGTCACCATGCTTGAAGAAACACACGTCACCCCGTCTGCATGTTCCCTGTTGGTCATACCGACGTGGAGTCTTAGCCATTTCTTCTTTGGTCATCTTCTTTCTCTCTCTATCTTCACTCTTGTCTCTCTGCTCCTTCTTCTCTTTGGATGGCTGGCGCCTTCTAGATGGATCACGTTTACTGTAGTGAAGGGCTGAAACAGCTCACCCTTTCAGGACTTTCCCTGCCCTTCTCCTGAAGTATCTAGAGTGAAAACAACGGAGTTGTTTTTTAGTTCTCTAGGAAAGTGTTCCGGTAGCGAACGCTGATGCTTAGTGACTTGCTTAGTGCTATTAGGCAACTGCTTCAACTCTCCCGACGCTGTGAACTTGCCAGGAAAAACGGTTGACCCAAGGTGCTAAGAGCTCATGTCCATTCATTGACAGTATATCGGCAAATGAATTGTTCTTGGGGTAGACTGCGTAGATAGAAAAGGCTTGTGCGGATCAAAGTGAGGGTGGGTGCTTTTCAGTCAGAGCCTCCACTTTGTGGGCGCCCACCCTCAATCTCATGTGAAATGAATTGCTACACAGGCAAACTCGTCACTGCAACCCCAAACATACATTGTTCGCTCTATCTCAAAGACAATTCGATCTACTACGCAGTATCGATAAAGTCTGTTGAAAGTGCAAGCAGCCCTCACTGCGGGAGTCGTCAGACCCCTGCACCCCTTTCAAGCGGTCAGAGGGGACCCTCAACAAAGCCAGAAAGCCTTCCTCTAGCATCATAGCTGCGTCGGAATTGTGTTGGGTCATATCGCACAACACTTCGTGACTCATTGATCTTGACGGGAAATCAGCACTGTTTGCTTCGCACCAGGTCTTCCAGTTGAACAAAGCTTCACATTGCAAGAGAGCCGTGATCAAAAAACACGTGTTATGTTACCTCTGTCAATTTGGCAAGGAGGGAAAAGATGCAACACAATGGATGGGCTTGAAGCGCATTGCAACAGGGCCTCACCTGAACCCACCAGGTCTGAGGTTTTACCACCACAACGCCGTTTGCAGTCATGGCACCGCTTCTGAATCTTGTAAGCCTTTTTTTCATCCAGCCACGTTGTGACATAGAAGCCAATCCAAAGCCAAACAGTCTGAGCCTTCCTTGGTCTTAACTTCCCGTGGCAATCCGATTGGAGAGCAATCTGTGGGGTCAAAACGAGCTCGCAAGAGAAATGCAATGAAGTGTCTGAGCTCTGTCAGCAAGATATGGAATCTCTTGTTCTTTGAGGAGCCCCATCCGCACCAGTCCAGAGTAGGGTCCTGGGGCAAGTCTTGCAAAGCAAAGTGATGGAGTGCTCCAAATGCAAAGCAACCGAAGCGGCGCTCCTGCCCCTTGGTTGGCCTGGATGGGAGTGACTTAGCGCTTGATAACTCCGAAAGTGAAGAAGCAGCAAACTCGATGCTCCCTCGCATCTTGCACAACATTGTGCTGACAAGGTCATACAGCATGCTCCCCTGCCGCGCCTCGGGGTTCTCGAAAGTCCCACGGCATTCATCCTCGCCAAATCGAGTGGTAGACGATTGAAAGAAAGAAGCAAGAAATGGAGACGGGATGACACAGCTCAGCTGAGTGCAAACCAAGATTCAAATAGGAGGGCCTGGGACAGGAGTCCAAGCCGTGCCACACACTGAAGCTGCTCCTGGAAGCGAAACAACACCACTTGGTCTAACACACCACAAATGCATCATGCAGTAATGTCCTGTGACGCTCCAGCTGCTGCCAGCAGCAGCAGGATATCCAAAACCTCAGCTTGATATCCAAAACACAGGGCAGGAGCATTGGAGAGAAGGGTTTTTTTCAACTCCGACTCATTGACTCCGCTTTTCGTCAACTCAAAGGACTGAGATTTGGATTTCTTGTCTCGCCCTCCTTGCTGCTCAGTGGCCGCGCCATGCAAACTTCTTAAGAATTCCCTGCCATCGAAGGTATGTCGACTCAAGAACTCAACTCTCCCCACGTCAAACAGATCAATGCAGCGTGCGGTGTTTGGCCTGTGATTCCACCACCTAGAAAGGTTCAACTGCACGAAGAAGCCCATAATGAATGTCACCTTGCGTTCAGTCTGGGAGTGCGGGCTGAACATGGCAAGTCCTTCAAAGAGTATCGACCAAAGTGGCAATAAGAAGGATACGCTGTTGTAAAGCTTCCATCGCAGTGGTATCCATTTTTGATTCGTCATTGGCCCAAGCTACAAGCCTCAGTCGTTCAGGCGAGGAAAAGTGAGGCAAGCCACACCTGAAAGGAATGGAGGAGAAAACCGTCCACGTTGTCCAATTCTGATGACATCCAAACATTTCCAAATCAGCAAGTAGGCCTATTCCAGGACCTATGTTTTCAACCTAGCAAACCAGGCTGACACAGGAATCTCCTCCTGATGATGTTCAGCATTTTGGCATTGATCGAGACCCTACGTGGAGGGTAACGCGTGAACAGCGCGTTCGTTCATTGGACGCCGATGCCACTTAAACAAAAAAAACAGTGTCGAAGAGAGACACCACTCTAAGTTCCAAAGAGATACTCACAATGCTTCCACCAATTCTGACCCTTTGTACCACTGAACTAACCAAGATAACCAAGAAACCCACCGGTTGCCAGTGCCAGGGTCAGCGTCAACCCAATGCACGTTGTCAGTGACCATGAGATGCGACAAATGCCGGCGCGAGTAAACAATCCAAGAAGCCTTGGTGGGCAAAATGTTTTCCAGGAGACTATGGTGATCTTTCTCCAAAGCACAAGACTCTTCACAAAACGGCCTGCCGATTTCGTTCTGAGTATGCATGAACTTTGCTGCTTTGGAACCCACCCCACCGACATACTGCGTCGAAGTCATAGCTCACGATCTTGCACTTGCGGTCACCTCAGTGGAATCTAACGCGCAGAGTTGTGGCAGCTTGCTATTCCACCGCAACTAGGTTGGAGGACCATGGCTATTAGGTTGGAGGCCATTCCTATTAGGTTGGAGTCATCGCTCTTAGGTTGGAGGGCATCGCTCTTAGCAGGCCCTCGCTTGTTCCTATATAAGTAGTTTTAGGCAAAAACCTCTCCGACCCATATGACTCACGTGTGATGGCTTGAGCAGCTGGCGTTGATCCCCATGTTCGTTGTTGTGAACGAACGTGCTGAACATACCTCCGCCAGGACTTGGATGGAGACACAAAACGGACGAACCGCCCACGAAGAAGCCACTGATCTGTTACTCTCTGTTACTCTTGCAACTCATCCTGCAGTCGTTCTGAAAAGAGTCGCTGTAAAATTAGGGTAGATCATGGTAGATCTTGCAGTAATCACCAGTCTCATTCCTCAGTCATTCTTGTCATGTCTGTGACGCGACGCTCAGCGCCTTCCGAGTGCCTCAGCGGCCCCATCCACAGCCTCGGCGCCTGGAAAGAACGGCCGCTGGACAGGGCGACTTGAAAACGGGTTCTCCACGGGCGTTGCACCGAGTTTCACCGGTGTTTCCCCGGCGGATCCTTCCGTCACCGGTGCTCCGAACGCTCCGAACGCTAGGTAAGAAGGACCGGTCATGGCCTGATCGGCCATACCTGCACTGGCGCTCTCATCTGCCACTTCCGGCCTGGCAAGTGAAGTAACACATCATGTTCATATATGTTCATCTAATCATGTTCATGTCATGTTGTTCCTCCTTCAAGTGGAAGTTCTCTCATCATATCTGTCATATCTCATCATTCCGTGCTGCCGCACCTCTCTGCCAAAAGTGACTGCCCAGCATAGCTCGCATAGGGCGCTTGAGGCAGGCTCCGGCTAGACCATGGCATCAGGGGCGAGTTCTACGTGTTGTTCGTGGTTTTGCGGACGTTCAACAGCTCTCAAAATGAAGATATGCGCCCAACTACTGGAGTTTTCACTGGTACTTTTCTAGTGGAGACCTTTTGGGGAGTCTCCTTGTCTCGACCTTACTCAAATCTTCACAAGCGCTTCTTCGAGTCTTCGGTGATTCTTCGTGTGCGCACGTCTTCGATTTTTGCGGCTTCGCCGGTCTTTCAGGTCTTTCCGAAACCCTGCGTTCATCGAACTTGGAGCAGTCGTAGCATACCAGTCGTGTGCATTCCAGTCGTGCGTTCTTTCTCCAGTAAAAAACTCGGTGCTCGGTCCCTCAGTTAAGTGGCACACTGACTTGGCCACCTGCAAGGCACCTTTGGGACCAAGATCCTGACAGGAACAGGACTCACAGCTTGTGAGGTCGGAACAGGATTACCAACCAGAGAAACGGTTTGCACTCGGTTGCACTCCTCCCGAAGCTTCTTGCTTCCTGGAACCTGGGTGATTAGATTCAAGTGGTTCTTTGGATGAATTCACTCTGTTCACCGAAGGATGTGTCTGGCTGAGTAGGCGAAGTAGGCGGCTCTGTGCAGTCGGGTTCGTGCTTCCAACTCCGAGGCTGGCACGGTCAACAGCGAAGCCTGAGGCAGTTCCATTCGTACACATCTCCCCTAAGACCCTGGTGGTCTTCAATTCGGTCTCTAGGTCTTAGCTCTGGACTAAAGCACTGCTGAAGATGGGCAGGAGGTGTGAAGGTGGTGGTGAATCAGTGGGTTCGCCTTGTGCTTTCGCACGGTGAAAACTCATCACATGGCCAAAAAACAAAAACCACCGTTTGCTGTGAAAAAAAAAATGTTTTGCTTTGCACAGATGTTCGGAGCCGAGCAGCTGCCCTTGGCGGCATCTTCTATCCTCTGTGCCTTGGCAAATGCATTGTTGTTTAGTATTTTTTTGAATAGGCGAGACGCACCAAGCTCAAACAACATTAAGTTCAATCGTTTCCAGCTCGATAGCGTTTAGACTTCTAAGGCCCTGACCAATTCCTGTGGCAAGGGCCTGGCATGACTTGCTACTTCTATAGCTCCAGGCCTGTGTATCATTGTGTATCCACCCACCCCCAGTGCAACCGGGGCCTGGAAAATGAAGTCGACAAGGGAAGCCATTTTGTTCTCGAACTGCTCTTCCCTCCTTAGAAAAAACAATCGCACCATCGAGCTACCGATGACCGACTGCACTGCCCCATGCCCGTTGTGAAATTGTGCAGTAGGTCCAGCATAACTTGTTCAACAAAAGGGAATCCCTCAGTGTAGCAAGACAACGAAACTGATTGAGACACTGACTCTGCAAGCCTTGCACTGCAAGACCATAAGGGTCTGCCTGATGCAGTTTTCCATCGAATCTAGAAAGAGATGCCCATCTGTTTGGAGTCTCCTGCTTACACCTCCATACTTTCACATTTGCCCTTCTCTTCGCTGTCCCTCCACCACGTTCTTTTCAACATGACCCTGTCTTGTTCTTGCAAGATTCGGTCTCACGGTTGCTTGCATCGACACAATAAACAGCCCACTGAACTACGTAGACTAAGGCAGGCATGTCAAAGTGTGTAATGAGAAAGGCATGCAAATGACCACTTCACAAGGAGAAAGTGAGAATCGAAATGCCTTCGTCCCATTTACCAACTGTTGGTTCACCCGAAGGTTGCCGGTCTTCACACCCAAAGCTGACCATAAAGCTAACGCTCAGCCGCCAGTTTCAATGGTGGGTGGCAACTTCGACCAAGCGTTTGCAAAAGGATTTAGTTCATCGAAATGCCGGTGATGTGTTTAAGTATAGATTGCATTACTGACACCAAGACTGAACAAAAAAGCAACCAACACCAGTGGAGCTTATTGAAATTGAAAAAGACTATAAACTATGAGATCAATCTCTGTTCAACGCTGATTTATGTGCCCCATTGCAGGTCTAAGTGTGTTGTGCTTCCCTTTCAACAAACAGAAAGAGTTGGTTGAGATCTCGCCTCAGCATGCTCACAAAGCATGAAAAGCAGCAACTGCTGCAGGATGGGGCTGTCCAAACCTCACGTCGCTGCGTCACTCGCCGGGACAGGTGGCTGCAACATCTGTAAACAGCTCTCCGCTTCGCAAAGCTTGTTGCCAACAAAAAGATTGACCCTTGTTCTTCTGATCTTTCTAGTGCTTTTCATTTCTCTGTGAGCACGGCCATTCTCCTTGCAGTGGTCAATGAGTCCACAGAGCCAATGTAACTCCATGGTCTCCACCTGACAGAAACTCCCCAAAGGTTCTCGGATGGCCGACCATCTGATAGATGAACTCGGTGGAGGGCATGGACCTCACCATCCTGATCTCATGAGGCCAAATCCAGTGACTCCTACAGCTCCCAGATCCACACCCAACCAGTTGTGGAGGATTCCTCGCCTCCTGCAGCTTCTGCCGTGGCCATTCCGCTTCGTTCGGCAGGGCTCGGCTGAGGTACCTGGCGCGGTCCACACAACGGAGGTCCGACCTTTCATAGGGCAGGGGGTCGAAGCACACATCCACCAACGACAGTATAAGGAAAGGCAGGAAGGAATCCACGAAGAGAACCTGGAAATTGGTACCTGGTTCTCTTGCGCTGTGGTACCTGGTTTTGGTGCATGACCCCAAAGCAACCTCAAAGATGATTGCTGGGGGATGCTTGGGGGATGTTCCTTGGAGGTTTGTGGCACTCATCTTCAACTTTGAGACACATTGATTTGAGTTTACTGTAAGGGTCCTTTTTACTGATGGCAAATCACCTGGAATGTGAACAAGCTTCACAACCAAACCCCTACATGAAACACAACCGATCTCGGACCATTCGGACCCACGAGACCCGCCTCAAGCCACGCAGGCTGTATGCCTGTCTCCATGAAGGACATGAAGGCATTGAACGATAAAGCTGATTTGTAAGCGGATTTGTATGCATCTTGGAAGGCATATTTAATTAGGCATCCCTGGATAGGTGGTGTTCTTCGGGGTAACCACCCCGAAAAGCACAGAAGTGCTAAGTACCGGACGAAGGACGCAGCAGCGCCCCAGGTTGCGAGCTTTTCCACCGACCTGAAGTCATCAGTGTGCTTAAACACTTGGCCCCATGATGCAACTCCAACAAGGAAAGGAATGCTCAACGCTGGATGTGTTTCGCGTGTTGCATTCATGTCTTGACGCTAAACGACCACGAAGTCTTCTTTGTGCAAAGGCAAGGCAAGAGAAGGAAGCAATAATAATGATTCTGAAAAGTCTTGAAGCCATTGGAGATCAAGTTTGTTTTTATTCTTTCTCTGGATGGTTCCACTTCTCTTGTCTTGCGAGGTGAGAGCGGCCCCTGTCTGATGCTTCAGTAGCACAACATTTGTCTTATCTCCCTTCAATCACAACCCTCAATACAATATAGGTCTGATAGTACCTCTGCTGAAGCATGTGAAACACGATCTTCGGACCAGCACTGCGGATGTCGTGGCTGGTCGTGTCAGTCTCACCGATTTCAAGCCAGGCTGGTCTCTTCAGCTCCCAATCCGCTTGGGTCCACCTTAGAGAGAACTCGACAAGACTCAATGTGGATAAACAGCTGCTTGCAAGACCTCCATAGAAAAAAAGGATGAAAATGAGATGAACTGAGCTAGATCTGCAGTAAACTAGCGGAGTCAAACGATATTTTTTTTATAGACCGTCAAATCTTTCACCCGCACTGATTGCAAGGAGGAGCACATAGACTTTGAATTGGACTCTTTGGCCTTCACTTAGCTCTTCCAAACCTACCAAGAACAGGGTCCAACTCTGGCAGGATTCCTCGGTCTGTTTGTGTGTATGCGGGAGTCTCACGTTTTGGAGTACGAAAGAGTGATACGACTGAGTGACTGGTTGTAGGCCAAACTGATGGTCATGTTGCTTCTAGGCCAAAGTTCAGTGAGTCGAGTGACTACATACTGAAGACAATCAGTCGCTGCATGCGTTTCACATCGAAGTCAGCAGAATCCCCATCCGGCCTGACAAGTCCTGCTTGGAAACCCAAATCTTTCCATCTGACAGGGATGAGAGTTGGATATCCCTCATGGCAGCTTGAAAAATCGGAAGTTGTGCGCTGAAGCACAAAGCAACACTGGGCCTCTGTACTTTGCCCATTCGTGGTCGATCGGAGAGTCTGGCTTTATCCATCCAAACTTCCCCTTCCTTCGTGGCACAGGTTTGCTTGCTTCAGCTTGGGTGATTGCACGCAAAAAGGCGGTGCTTGGTGGTGCTAAGGCCCCATCCACTCTATGACACTGCCGGTCGCAAAATCTGTGGTCACCGCTTCCCGGAACATTGCTGTGCCACCATTCTGCAGAAAGTTCTTCATCATTTCCATCATGTAGCCCTCAGAAGAGCTCAAACGTACGCAGCTCTTTGCATCATCCCCGAGAACAACCCCCCTGCCCGGTATGGAAATGCGATACAGTTATGTAATCACCGATGCGCATAGCTGCTCTGGCTGACTTACATCCTCCTTTCTGCAGCCAAGGTTCCCAACCTTTCTTACCGACGGGTACTTTGGCACCTTGCTTGTTCTTGACCGTCATGGCCTGGCCCAGGGCCTCTAAAACATCCTCTGATTGACTGAGCAAAATGGACAGGGTCAAACACTTCTGGTACCTCTGGTAGCCCCATGGTCAAGGCAAAATGAACAAAACCGGCAAATGCTCGTCATCTGGAACCCTACCACATCCAGTTTTGCACACAAAAGGTGTCCTCGGCCATAAGGACAGGATCAGTCTTGATGTCCTTCCAAAACCATGGCTCACAAACAACCAGTGACATGGATCCCATGGGTCATTGCTTATCACGGCTCCTTGAGTGCTTGTTCCGCGGCACTCCTCAGAAATGCACTCGGTCAAACAGGAAAACGAAAGCCAGCGAGTGCTTGCATCTGCTGGCTTTGTCAGTCAACCAGCCAACCGTCCAACCATCCACATCAACATCTGTACTGTAAGTGTTTTTCATTTATAAACTCTGCCTGCCAAGTTCCTTTTCCCGAGGCGTTTGCGAATGATGTTTCTGCAGAAAAGGTTTGCATTACAGTTGAGAATTATATATATATAGTATTCCAAATTATTTAGATCTAAATAGAAAAATATTTCAAAAATCAGGCTACTTAAATTTGACTCCAACTATATACGTATATTTTTAAAAACGAAGGTGGAAGTTGCATGAAGTTGCCAAAGCCTGTAACAGTCCTCGAAAACGCAGGCTGCAGTTGCCAAGGTATGGAACTGCTGTCGAAACCGCACGTTGAAGTTGCCAAAATGTGTAGCTGTCGTCGAAAGCGGTGATTTTATTATAGTACAAATGTGGCACAGCAGCGGCTTCTGGGAGGTGTGGTGTTAGAACTGGCAACTTTGTAGTACAGATGTAGTGGGGGAAGCAGCTTCTGCAGAGCTGGAAACTTTGTGGTGCAAATGGTGCGGGGAGCAGCTTCTGGGAAGCTCGGGACCGGTAGTACAAGTTACAAAGGTAGTGTGAGAAGCAGCTTCTGGAGCTTGTCCTAAAAACTGGCAACTGCCTCACTACCGCCACTCTGTAGATGTTGTGTCTAGTCTAGTCTGTGGCACACCGTGCGGCAAAATTATGTCTGTGATGTCGCTGGGCATGTGGATTGGTGTGGCCTTGGTTAAAGGTGGGTTTGCGTGAGCTCTGGCACTGGGGGGAGGGAATCACGATGGCGTAAACACGGATGATTTGTGGTGCCCATAGCGCATGGTGTTACACAGTTGTATCCAGTCTGTGGCACACCGTGTGGCGATAATTACGTCCGTCGTCGCTGTGCCATGCGGATTTGTGCAGCCTCGGTGGAAAGTGCGAGTGCCTGAGTCCGTGCCATTGGGGGGAGGGAGACATGATGGCGTAAACGCGGCGTGTCGCTGGGGAGCTGGATTATTGGCGGTGTCCACGAGGCTTGGTGTACGCACCTGCGGACGTGCGACTAGTAAAATGATCTGGGATCCACACGCGTCGCTACAAAGTCCATAGAGACATCCTGAAGAACAACAGAACTTATATTTAGCACGTGTTTCAACGCTCCCGGGCCATTCCTCGTCTAGTTCTCTGTTTCCACACCCTTTGCCGCCGAGCCACTGCTCCGCTTTTTGTCGTGTGGCACACAATTCGCCCGCCCAAGCCCGTTGTGCCCACTCGTCCGGCAAGGCGACGCTCTGCACCGTGGCCTCGCGTCGCGTCGTCTTCCGGTCGCCCTCGGGCGGCGAAGAACCGGCGCGACAAGACCGGTCACCGCGGCCTGATACTGATTTCCAATCCTGAGCGAGGAAATCAAACGGACTCAGCTGAGTTGGTGGTTGGTGGATGTTGCTGCTAAGGATCCTGTTGGACACGTAAATAGTTTCACCTTTGGCCAAGACCTCAGGATCCCAAAATGCTCCTCCTCCAGGTTCCCCTATGGGCCTACGAAATCCGCTTCACACCAACTGCTTTGAGAACTGACCACGGCATAAGGACTTTGAGAACTGAAACAAAAACGCAACTGATGAGCAGGCCAAGTGGCTTTCTTGGCAATCTTGCCAATTAAGGAGTTCAACTCAGTCTTTGGAGTCAAGGCAGGATTTTCTTCCATTCGTGCTCTCTTGTCCGCCATGTCCTTCACCACCCGCAACACACGCTTTGGTCTGAAAGAATCAAGCTGAATGAGTCGAATCAGTCCAGGATCTGAGTATAGGACAACCCAAAATCACAGCTTTGGTCCATCTGTCCCAATCACATGTCCGGTCCTCGGCTGCAGATTTGGGTGCTGGTCTCTTTCCACTGCCCGCCTCCTGCGAGACCATCGGAATGGAATGCCGACCGGGAGACTTGGAACCCGGAGAAGATGTGTGGTGATCAAATTAAAATCGAACCAATAAGCTTCTTTTGCATCCGGAAAAATCGGTAAAACGCTGTAAAACCCGTCACCTCTCGTTTTGTGGCCCATCTACCCCTGGCGGTGTCTCCGGCCTTGAGAGCCTGCACCAAATGAGCGTTCGCCTGCGCTCCGAGCTCCGGAGCAGGAGCAGCGATGTTCTCGGTTTGAGGTCAACATGCGTCCACATATTTCCACATTACTAGTAGCGTCCTTGCTCCTAGTAGTGAGGCCAGGAGCCCCTTAGTAGCTCTTGTTGCTAGTAGTACGGCCAGGAGCCCCTAGTAGCTTCTTGTTACTAGTAGCCAGGAGCCCCTAGTAGCTTCTTGTCAATATGTGTCCACACCCTGGAAGTGGAATCTTCAAAGATTTGTATCCTTGACGATCTTGGATTTTCAGACACGAGCTGTCAGTCTTTAGATGTCTTTAGCCAAACCGTGGCGTGGTGTCAGTGTCGGTTAGCTTCCTCTCACCAAAGTGGCAAGACCAAGTTCACGGTTCTTGACCAGTTCTGATGAACCATAGTGACTAGTGACTAGTGGACATCCGGCTTTCCCAACTTCTCACCAAGTTCAAGAGGATACCAAATGACCATGAGATTGGATCAAACATGATCAAACCGCGTCCCACACGTCTCACACCTGCAAAGCTTGCTCTGCCGCCGACTTTTCGGCGCTCTTTTGGTCTAAGCACAAGTGACCCGCGTACTCTTGGCCTCAGTGCCCGTGTACTCTGTGCGCTCTTCCAAACTCAACCTGTTGGGGTGGCAAAGGATCAAAGAGACCAACATCAACCAACTACCCATGAAGCATGGGTGCCCATGGGTGCCCATGGATGCCCATGGTCATGGGCACACGCAGTGTACTCATGGGATCTCATGGGTCAAACTTTGAGCAGCAATACAGACTTGGGAGAAAGTGACTCTGGCAAAAGGAAAGTCCGGGATGGATGATCGATTTCTGGGTCTGTCTTTTGACCGTCCCATCCATTTGACCGCTCTTGACCAGCAAGGCCCAGAAAAGGCTCAGAAAAGGCCCTGAAAAGGCCTCAAGCTAGGAGTCAGACCATCCATGCAATGTAGTTTTACAATGGCCTGTTGTTGGTGTCCATATCTGTTGATGGTGTACTCCTTGGCTGCAAAAAAAACCTTTCCAATTGACCTGGTCAGAGTGGCTCAGGAATCGGTCGAGCCATTGGTGCACGCCGTGGAGAAAAGCAATCGGTGCTTTCCGTCGCAGAATCCCTCTGAGCTGCTTGCAATGTCATTCTTGCCCAACGGTCTCTTGGTATGTTTCTGCAAGAACCTCACAAAAACAAGGGATGAGAACAGTTGAGAAGCAAGAGCATCCCAGGCTTTCATCTTTCACTTCATTGTATTGCGACTTCATCTTTCACTAGAAAACGAGGCCAGTGCTGGTTCAGCTCAGACTTAAAATCTGGCATCGGTTGCATCGGTTGTGTGCCCGGCATGCTCAACATCTTGGCCTTGGAGAAGGGCTTGGAGAATCGACCGATCCAGACCTCCTCTCTCTCTCTCTCTCGCGCTTCTGCCGAGCGAATTCCGAGGTAACACTCTGAATGAAAATGCTTCTTTGGAAGACTATGAAAGATAATGGTCCTCTACAAAGAACTGTCCACTTCCGATTCCACACAAATCACTCTACGATCTGCAACGAAAAACATCGAACGTGTGAGGTGGCAGCTAGGGAGAGCTGCAAGCTCCAAAGGGCCACCCCATAGATTTGACCCCGAGCTGCGGAAGAAAGCACAGCTATATAGGCCGCTGGGCCTTTCACATGTTATGTTGAGTGCAGCTTTCCTTACATGATTACATGTAAACCCTAGGAATGAAGAGACTACATCTTCAAATGACCCTTGCGGCTCTTTTCCCAAATGGCTGGAGGGCGGCCAACATCTGCTTGATCAGCGGGATGAAAAGCCAGGATTCACCTCTGCATCCGCCCTTAGTTTCTGCGGGAAAGACAAAGACATTGACCCGGTCTCGAGCTGGGTTTGAAAACGGACATCACGTGGTGATTTGGCCATGGCTCTGCACTTGGTAGGAGACGTCAACAAATGCCTCAAGATCCAGATGTTAGATGGTGTCTTTCTTTTCCAAAGACCAGATCGGGAATCTCACAGAACTATATAGTAACTTACAACTATAGTTGCATCTTACAGAACCCACCATCTGACTGTCCTTCAAGAGACTCCTTCAACCGATATCCATGTCATCAAAAAGTGTCTCTCGGCGCTTCGGTGGGACCGACACCGAAGCACCGACGGAGAATCGCGGCTGTGGCTCGGACCGACACAGTGGCTCGGCGTCTTCGGCTGGGCAACATCAGCCTTCCAACGGATCGATCGGCGTGGGCGGCCCACCCTGTGGCCCGGGCGGCCCACCCTGTGGCCGCCTGGTCTACCCTGAAGAAGCTATGGGCTTAAGCGGCTTAAGGTTCAATGGCGACAGGGTTGACAGGCTATGGCGGCCTATGGCCGTCGCTATGGCCGCTAGACAGTCGCTGGTCTACCCTGGGCTTAAGGTTACGATGATCATTAAATGGCGACAGTGTCTAGCCCACGACAAGATCTGCTCCATGTCTGCAATATCCAATGCAAATCTCACGTGGGCCTCCATACTTCACACTGTGCAAATCCGTCCGCGTTACCAAGTGCAGTAGCTTTGGCTAGTTGAGTTGCCTGCTTTGTTCTAGAATTCTAGAATAAAACATGGCCTGGTGGAAAGGGTTTGGCATTACTTGATGATGCAATAAATGTTGTAAAGATAAGTAGCATGTCTCGCATCATGGTCGTCTTTGGGAGTGTCCATCAAGTTCGGTTCAGGAGCAATTTGTGGGTGTAGGAATGGATGGATGGATTATTGCGTGGCTACAACAAGCCGTAATCCAATGATACATTTATTATCATTTATTGGATGTTATCGTTTGGTGCATTTTGTTGTGGATGTCTTTAAAAGGCATGGCCAAGGAACAGCTCCATCTCCAGGGCGGGCAAAACCGAAGAGGTTTGACCCTGTAGAAAGTTCCAGGTGAAGACGTGCTCTCCCTTCAGGGGCACACGATTCTACAGGACTGTAGCGTTGAAAGCTGGAAACAAGTAGTAACAGGTCACATGATAGGTCACTTAGAATCAATGCCGACTCTGAAAATAAGGGCTGTGCCAAGCACCAATGAGCTTTCAACTAGGCTGCCTTTGATCCACGCCTTGGCAAGCAGCGAGACCCGGGACATCCGCGAGGCGCTCGAGGGGCAGCCGTAGTCGCCACGCCCGGCGGTGCACTGACGTAACTTCACGCAACGTACTTCCTCTGGCTTGCACCTGAGATGGGTGTAATGCATGTGCCTCGAAATCCGTCCCATCCCTGAGAATCTGCGCAGTCTCCAAAAAAAGACACCAAACACATGCGAAAACCGTTCGCGCGTCAACCTGTCGAGTCATCTTCGCACGTTGCTTCGTCCGTTGCTCCGTTTGAAAGAGTTCGATCTTTGTAGCCAAAGTGCACGCCTACCACACCAATGAGAGCCTGACCCACCGTACAGCTGGAACAAGACGAGACCCAGGGAGTGCTGGAGTCACCATCGAAGGCGTTCGCTTCTCCATAGCCACTCTCGGAGCCTGCGAGGATTCCAGTGTTCCGTCCCCCTCTCAGGTTGTGGGCATGTTGGTTTCAACCCAAACCAGCGTGTACGTTCACCTCATTGCAGGTCGGATTGAAACAAAATGAGTTTCTTCCAAGACATGCAGTCTTTGGTTGCAGTCCCTGCCTGAAAGGCCGGGCTGTGCAAAGAGCATTGCAGTGTCGGAGCAATCCGGCAAGCGATGAAAGCTCAAATCTGGGATGCCCCAGGCATAAGTTGAAGCAGCTGCATTCTGAAGAAACAACGTGTCCTTAAAACACGAAAACAATGGTTGCATCCAAACACTCCCTGCTAGAGAAAGAAACGGATAACATGGACACTTCATGGAAACACACAAGTTCTGTCTTTATATAGCTGAGAATCAGTAGCTGAAACATCACAAATCTCAAGGCCTGCTTTGGTGCCGGTCAGGATGAACATTCGTTCGAACCATGTTTTAACCGCAGGCGATGCTCACAAAAAGACTCGGCTCCATGTCTCCATGTCGTGGTTTCTAAACCGTGAAGAACGTGCCTGCACCATCAGGTCGCAAACCCAGATTGGATTCGGAATGAACAAACAGATGCGTCAAGCTGTTGTTCACGGCAGTTCCAGCAGGCACCTCGGTTTTCCGACACGTTGCACCTTAACAGAACCGATCTGTGGAGGGGTGCACACACGGTGTACATACCCGACCTTCCGACCTTCTCAAGCTTGACAAGATACTGCCAGCAAGTTTGTCCCCACCAGCACAGAACCTGGCGGGACACTGAGACTCACCACACGTCACACAAAGGTTCAAGACAAAAAGAACACATGCTCACCTTGCAGAATTGTCATGAAAATTGGATTTTTGAGACCCTTCGAACCTGTGCATGGACCGCCGTACAAATCTCTTGGGACCTCAAAAAAGCAACTGCGGGTCTCCCCCAGCCTAATGTCACGCGGCCAGTGCTGGATCCAGCACTGTCTGCCAAATACACCGTGTAGCCGATCACTTCACTTAAAACTGTCGGCGGCACCTCAGCAGCTGTGGCTGGTCGACATGAGTCGAAGCTTTTTGGGCACAGCGCATGGCGCGGCACGGACGAGCTATGCAGCCAGACCCACGTCAAGGTTGCTCCCACAGAGCCAGCGACGAGGTCCTGCAAAGGCTTGGTCCACCGCCATTGGAAGGGGACAAACACACGCACGCAGATCAGATCATGGGGTAGTGTCTTCTACTTTCGACTGAGAGCCATCTGAGGTAGAGGTAGTGAATTGATCCATTCACTTTGCCCAAAGCAGGGTATTAAGCCTTCAGTACCAAACATAAAGAAAACATAGTTGTCAGTTATGCAAAGGAAAGGTAGACCTCAAAAAAAGCAAAACAGCGTTTTGCATGATCACCGGGCTATTTGTCTTGAACAAAAAAGAACACACCTAGAACGGGACGGCACCGAGGAACGATGCGTCGTCACGCGTCGTCGCGGCACGTCCGTGTCGAAGAAATCCAGGTCGGTGACCAACGGCACCCCGTAGAGCCGTCGGTCGGCGGCCTCACGGTCGTGGTCGTCGCGTGGCGCGGTTTCCAACATCGGGGATGGGGTCGTTTGGGGACACGCGTTCGGTTTCAGGAGACCCCCCGTGTTCGGAGAGTTGGAAGACAGCGAAGATGGATGAAGACGTGCTAGTTGAGACTCGTTGAGATGGCACTTGGACGTCTTCCGTTTTTTGTTTGGCTAAGAGGCACTGGGTTCTGAAGAGACTGCCCCACATGAGAGGAGATAGACTATAGATCTCATGCCACTTCATTGCCCGGAAGAGCGCAAACGGCGTGTGGCTAGTACAGCAGCGATTGAAAGCAGTTTCAAATGCATCTTCAGTTGGCTGAATGCTTCTAGTGGAGGTTGAGTGGGGGTGTTGCTGTTGGTGTTAGAATTGCTGACTTATACTATCACAAGGCTTGCAATTCAAAGTTCTATGTTCCCCTTGAGAATCAAAGGCTGCAGCGAGTGTAGTGTTAATTTGGCCATGTCACTATTGGAGGAAGTTGCACTCTCACGCATCAAAATGTTGCTTGGGTGGTGGCTCTTCTCTTCCTTGCGCCCAACAGCATCCTTATCACTCACCGGTCATTCTCCAGAATCAACATGCTGTATAGGGGGGCGGCATTGCAACAAGCCAAGTTGAGCGCAGAGTTGGATAATGTCTTTCGAGATAGCTGTTTGTTCGACCAAACATATATATAAATATAGTGAGAGAGAGAGAGAGTAGAACCGGACTGTCTGAACCATTCCGCTTGCCGTCTGGACCCTTCCAGCAAGGAAACGCAAAGGAACTCAACTCTTCAAAGCAAGCCTGTGTTGCAAGTTTCGGGATCTTTTCCCTCTCATCAGGAGTAAAAGGGGTTTTGCTGTCTTCAGGCACACCAACCGAACAACTTGTCTTCCTCACAAGCTCTGAGCACTACTGAGCAGTGGACCATATCCCGCACCAAAGATAATCGCTGAACCCTGCCAATGATTCAATGGCCAACACTGCTTTGTTGCTATGCCCGCTACACCCGCAACGCCCGAGGCTCCAGCGGATGCTCGCTGCAGCAACTGAAGAGATCTTCCCAGTGAACGGAACATGGCGAGAAGCTGGCGCTTGGCCCCAACAAGTCCAAGCTTCACTTGTGACTGTGGCTCTTTGATGTGGAGTCCCCTGTGACTCTTTGATGTCTGACAATGCTTGACTCCCTGTCTAGCCTGTTGGAAATTTTGCCTCACCCCCTTCACAACTCACCTGTAGGCCACAAAACAAAGGACATGGATGCCAAGTCTCTCCAACAAGATTGCGACCCAAAACGTCAAGTGTTGACCTTGTCACGCATCTTGACACTCCATAAGGCACAGCGCGTGTTTTTTTTCCCTGGAGGTCTCACAGGAGTGTTTGAGGAGGCCCACTCCATTCACAGAAAGGGAGCGCGGCCATTCTCGCAGCCGTCGCGTTTTTTGAGGTTGCTTGGCCGGTTGTACGGTTCTCTGATTGTCTTTATTGGTAGTTCAGAGATGTGCTCTGTGGTCACTGAAGCAACTCTCAAGCCCTGTACAGAAAGGCTGGGATCCAAGTCAAGGCTGTTTTGCTGAGCAAGATCTGCTGAACAGAAAGCACCCAACAACACCAGTTTGTCCTTCCAAAACACACCTAGTTCTTTTGTCTTTACCAAGAAGATCTAGAATGTCAGATTGCCCTGTTGTCATGAGAGCTCAAGACCTTGGTTGTCCAAGGTTTGCAGTGGAATCAAACACTTCACTTCACACACGACACGGTCGCCCTGCTTCTGAGAGGGCGACCATGTCACGGCCTGCTTCTGTCCTCCAGTCTTCAGAGCCTGGCAAGCCCACAATGAAAGGAAAGAGTCGGCAGTCTGGTTTGTAGGAGCCTCGGTCAGTTCATTTTGAGAGGTGAGCACAGGTAAGCTGCATTTTGAACTGAGTGGTGATTTTGGTTAGAATCTTGTAGAAACGTCTTCATCGCAACCTTCAGTGTCGGTTCTTTGACGCAACTAGCTACCAGTCCAACAGTGTCAACACAAAGGCCTCAAGCTCGAGTTCCCAAAGGGGGGCTCATCTCTCGGAGTCTTCTCACCTGTCAACAGCAAGGCGCACTGCAGCATGCGATACGTGACACCCGCACTAAACCAGACTGCCTCCCTCACGACATCATTCACGGTGTTGTCCTTGGCACAAATGTTTGGGCCCCTTGGGCCAGGTATTTATTTGGTCTTTGGCCTTTCTTCAAAAACATCGAGATCGCGCGCGCACGGTTTCATCTGCAAATGCTCTAGCCGAGGCACCACTTCCGCCTCAGTGGTAAAGCGGCCAATGCCAAAGCGCAGCGACCTCGGATGCATGCGAATGCGAATGTGCTGCAAAAATGTAAGAAATGCTAAGGGAGTCAATTAGCATAACTAGCATTAGCACAACTAACCTGTCTAACCTCCATGAACTCAACAACTACATTTTTGGTATACTGCATGCAACTTCCACTCCTGGGTTCCTAAGCGTGTGCGCGAGGTCCTCGGACACTCCAATGGCTCGCAGGACGTAGGACCTCCAACATGAGGTCCCAATGAGATTGGACTTCACAAAAAGAAATATGAGACACAACAAGATCAGCTATATATTGGAGAAAATGCACAAGCTGTGAAACCTTAATCGTCCAAAACAACAGCATTGCACTTTCTGTAGATCAACCTTCACTCTTGGCACCCTGCGGCTCAAGTGATGCGCTGGTGCAAGCAGAGCCACTGGACACTGCAGTAGTCTTGGCAAGTGACCTTAAATGCCACGCAAGATCTTCAAACATTGCTTCCGGAAGTCTTGGGATGTTGGTCCGGCAAAACCTTGGCGTCCTACATGAGGAGGCTTTCACCCTCCACGCAGGCGAACGACAAGTTCACATTGCCAGGCCACCTGAAGCATCAACAAATTGCTGCTTTTTGACCTATGAAAGATGGTCCATCCTGTCTCCTGTGACCCGACTTTGATCTGTCAAATGATTCTGTGAGTCAAAGCCCCCCAATTGCACCCTGAAACGACAAATAGATAGAATAAGGCCTCAGTGTGTTTCGGATTTGACCCAGGCCTCTGCGAAGGTGATCCATTCAAAGTGATCTGCGGCAACTCTTCAGTGATTTTGTCATGCATGCGCTTATACCTCGGCCATAAAATGAGTTGTGCTTGGCATGTAGCATCATCAGTTGTGGTAGTAACTCAAGTTCTGCACCAAGCTCAAGACAGCTTCTGTACATGCCTGGTGTCATTGTCCATCTCTTGCATGCAAACCTGTTTCAGCGCATCATATCGCATTGAACCGCAAATAATAACTTGGCCATCTTTGACCACCAAAACCTGTTTGTCATGGTCTTGAAGTTTAACCCACATTGCAAAACTTGGGAGCCACAAAGCCACCCACAAGAGAAGAACGATGAGTTCATGGAATTGAATTGAAGGCTTTGGGCCCAACAAACCTCTTCAGCAACCGCCCAACCGGAATTCCCACCGGCTCACCTCGGCTGCTGCTCCAAAACCGACGATGGGAGGAGTGGCCAATGTGCCGCTGCGCATGCCACGCTCCTGTTCTATGGTGGGTGGCTCTGAAGTTTTACCATTCATGGAGTCTTGGTGAACCACAAGCAGGTGGACCCAAATCAATCAATTCCCTAGTTGATACGGTCAACCCCTTGCGATTCATGTAATTCATGTCCATTTTAATCCGCGGTGGCATGGAGGGATTGACACCCGCGGCACCTGTTTGGTTTCTTGGCTTGGGATTATGGTGGCGGTTTGGTCGCTTGGGTCATTGCTGCTTCCCTTGTTCATATGCGTTGTCATGTTCTTTCAATAATGTCCATGTGTTAATCCTAATAGAATGAATGTTCAAGACAACGGCAACAAGATCTTTGAACTGGTGAAACTGCTCAAACCATGTTGAAATGAATCAACATGTATTCCTTTAAGAACAAGTATACAATCCTGTAGATATTTCCTTCAGGGCATATACATCGTGCATCCGCACTGGTGGTGGAGCTGCAGTTTTTGTGTGGCTTAGAGCTGCTACGCAGTTCTTCGTGGCGCTTCGATTATCTCACTAAACCTACCATCACCACCTAGGCGTCTGCCCTTGAAAGGGGCTTAAGGTCGTTTAGTGGAAAATTATCGCAAGCGGCTTCTGCAATCCATCAACATGGCCAAAAAGACAAGCACATGCTGTGAAGATGCAGTTGAAACATGTTGAAACACCTATTTCGAGGATAGTCTCCTGACCCCCACCGTCAATGACCGGGCGCAGGCGAACCTCAGCTGTACCGCGAAGCTGGGTGGTTTAGATAAGGATTCAACCCATGCACGTCTAGGACCCTATAGGCCCTAGGAAACAAGGGCTTCCACAATAGTTTGTGAGAGGAACTCTTCTTGTCAAAGCAAGGACTGCACAAGCTCTCGCTGCTGGGGTGCCGTACTCTTGGCTTTCGTCGAACATACAAAGCGCCAACCCCTTTTGGGCCGTACATCTTGTGAGCTGAGATAGACCTGCCAAAGCAGGTCACAAGACGTACGAAGACCCTTCATGCAGACCGTGCAACACAAAGAAACGAAGGCACCAACGGGCCGGATCCTGAGGCAGCTGCATCAAAGCTGCACCAACGTGCTTGACATCCACTGGCACCTAGCTGTTCACGAACGCAGTGCATACACGAAGACACAAGGTTCAAGTGCCATGTTTGAGCTCGCCTTGCCAACACTCTGAGCCGCATCTGTGTGAAAAAACACCTTCAAAGCCGCGTGACATGTCGGACAACATGCGCTTGACTGGGTTTCTTCTCTGCAAATACAAGCATTGACAGATCCAAGCAATATATGCAAAAGGATTTGCCCAACAATCAGAAGCAAGAAACACCAGAAGTATGCAAAACTGCACCAAGAAAACTGACCTGTTAGTAGTTTGCGATATTTTTTCCACAGCTCGCTCTGCCAGGCCCTGCCCCGGCTCTGCCTGCTTCTTGGCACAAATACGTCCAATCTCTTCCACTGGCTGCATGGTGCCAATCTCATTGTTGATGTGCATCACTGAGACCTGAGCGACCCCCGTTACCCCGTTTTGGTCGGGCCCGTTTTATTGCCAGAAAGCCCGAGAGAGTGGACGACGTTAGCAAAAGGGAAATGAAAATGGGATGTAGACCAAAGCCTTCCTGAGAAACCCTTTTCGTTGGATGAATCGTTTTGGCTTGGAGAGATGCCACAGGTTTCTTTGGCTCGCAGCACTGGTGTCAAGTTCAGAAAGAGGTGGTGGTGGAACTACTCTTACAACTGTAGATGTTGAGCCTCAGCCTCGAGTCTAAAACAAAGAATAGCCAGTTGAAGCACTTGTTTCTCTGAACACCCGGCTGTCAAACCCCTTACAGTAAATGTCTACCTGGAGAGTTGGACTCAGGGCCCTATGAACAACTCACCTGGATTTGATCTTCTCAGCCCAGGACCAAGGCAGTGTCGTCTCGAATGGCATCTTCCAGCTCCTGCACGTGGTGTCGACTGGCTCGGCAGACTTGGAGAGATTGTGAGACTGTCCTAAAAGAACAGGGAGACATCCGAAGGGTAGGGTTTTTTTGGTTATTCCATACTAGACACAAAAAAATCATCTGCATATTCTATCTTTGCCTTTCCAGCAAATTACAAATGGCTGGAGCAAAACGAACTCTCGATCAAAGAAGGTCATCCTGCAGGTTCACGAGCCCATACTTGTCGACAGGAAGATAGGTCACACTCCTGGCACATCTCAAGTTAGCTCATCATCCACCTGCTAAGTGCAGTGTCAACGAAGCTTCTTCTGGCTAAATCATGCTCAATCCATGGCAGCTGAACCAACCCTTGTCGACTTCGAGGCGGCGGCAACTGGCCAGGACACACTTGTGCCTGCACGCGAGACAAAGCGCGACAGCGCGAGAGGGGTCGCTTGGCTCCGAGACAGCGAGAAAAACCACCGGTCTGCAGCGCTGGATTTCACGGAAATGACATATGAAAGCCGCGAGTCTGCGGCATCTCTCTTCTCTACATCGCACCAAGTCAGCCAGGCAGACTCAGTCTGAGTCGTGACAATGTGCTTCTTTCCAGACCCTTCGTAAAACTCCGCAACTCCTTTGATTGCCATGTTGTTCGACCTGAGCAATTCCACGGTGATGCGAAACAAATGGAGAATCGACCTGGGCTGCTCGGCTCTGTTGCTCCTGAGGTGAAGAAAATCTCCTCAAACAGCTTGGACATCCAGGAGCAAACGAAAGAAAAAGACTAACTAGATTCAGATGAGACCTGTGGGTTCACATCTCAAAGAACTCCTTGGCATCAGCATTGATGAGCCTTGCAATTTGTTCTCGGGCCTAGCATGGCAGGGCGCTGAAACTTCCCAGGGGCCTAGCATATCAGTGATCCTCCACCACGTTCGATTGCTTCTCCGGCCTTTTCGATTGCTTCTTCGGCATCCCAACCTGAACAAAGCCACAGTGTCACGTGTGAGCTCCACCTAGCCAGTTGTGACAAAGGCCCATGCCATAGGAGTGACTTCGGCTGTGAGGATTCCCAAAGCGGCCGTGGTAGTACGGGAGCCTCAGTTGGGTTTGTACTCACCAAAAGCAAGACTTGGACGTCAACATAGCGCAAAAATCACTGTAGTTCAACGTCCAAGCGATCCACATAGCATCTAACACGCGGGGATCGACAGGCGTAGTTGCCTGTGGCGTCACGTCACATCGAATCCACCATGGTCAGATCTCAAGCATTTAGGCAACCTACACCACTCTTAGATGTTCTTTGCAAATGACGGGAATAACTGTGATGAAACTGCAACTTACTTAAGACTTCTGCCACCATACCTTTTCTTGCCTGCATATCCAAGTAGGATGGCCCTGCACGATCTTCATATTCGTTCCTCCACCCAAAAACGGCACGCTACCAACCAGTCCCCACTCAGCCATGAACTTCCAAATCCATCTCTGCTTCCAGCCATCTCCTAACACTAATTACTTCTTAAGACTTGTGTCTTGGCTTGTGGTATGGCCATGTATGGACCACCATTCTTCCACAACGGAACCGCCGGGACGTCGCCCGACTGTCCAGAGAGAGCCGGCGAAGTGCCGGAGGCTCCCGCTCGCCCAGACGCGTGGCCTGAGTCGGAAGGCCGGGTGACCCGTCCCGCCCCGCTCGACTCATGGACAAAGAAGTGTTTCCAACAAGGGAACATGTGTGTAATGTCACATGACCTCTGCAACAGATCAAACTCACACACACACTTGCAAATGAAGGGCTTCTCACTCTTTTGTCCTAGAGCGAAGAATGTAAAGTTTGATCCTCAAAAACTTTGGCGTCCTCCTTCAACCTTAACCCTATTGTTTTTGATGTTCATCTGAAACAATCTTTATATAGTTGGACCTATATAATTGGTAGGATTCCCAATGTCGCATCCAGCTTCTTGGCTTCTTGGCAGAGCTGGCAAACAGCAGGCGCGTGGTGGCCCCCCCTACTACCACGTGGACTACAGAAAGTCTTTTCAGGCTCACATAGATATCCTTTACCTGGAAGAAGAGGGAGAGCAGACTTTTGAATCTTTGTTAACCCAGTGTGCTAATGTGGCAGCCAAACACGGTTCATGGGTTGGACAAATTAGGATCCGAGGGAAAGGGAATGAGCTACGATGGTCGACAGGCCATGACGACTCCATACTCTCTCGTCGGATTGCTCTGTCATTCAGGAGGGGAGTGTGCACTTCTTCGCGGTCTTCGTCTACAGGTTTGCATCTGCTGGTTGATGATGGCTCTTACCCAGACCCCGCGTATCCTCAAGACGCAGATTGTCCAAGTGACGGCAACTCCCTCAGCAAACTTGCTGCAAGAGAAGGTTAGTCACTGAGTCTGCATCTGCCGATGAAGACGTACAGGGAAGATGCCTCTTGAGCCAACACGGAAGGCTTCCCGTTGTAAGAAAAGCTCGTGACGAGGGTTTGGGTGCTTGGCTCAGAGGCGGCACTCAGTCCAAAAGGGCACAAACGGATGACGCTGGTCCATCCCACCAAGCAGGTCACAGATGGGTGTGGCTGGAATGGACCCCTCAGAACTTGCAAATGATCCTGATTGCTGGTGCAACGCGCACCATTGGTTGGGTCTGGGCTGCAGAAACCGGTCCTCATCATGGCAGATGTTAACATATCTTCACAAGAGTTTATGACGACAACCATGAGCACGGTGATGCAGGTTTCAGAAGTGGCCACTGGGGAGGCAACATGTAACACTGGGAATGAGTTGGACTCGGCTTTGGTTTGCACGGACCTTGTTTGGGCGGACCTTGACAGGGACCATCACCACCCCCAAAAAGAGCTTCTTCAGAGGTTTGGCTTGAAGCCCAACTTGACCAACTCAAGACGAGTTTTCTGGTGCCCAACTCAAGCAGCGCTTCAGAATGAGGTTATAGGACGACGGCCTCAATGGGTTCACGACGTCACTCGACCCGTTGAGGGAAGCTTTACAGGTTGGGGGGGCGTCAAGACGAATGCCCGTGGCACGTGGACCAAGAGACGGGGAAAGACAAATGCACGCAGGCCAGGTAGAAGAAGAAGGAAGACTATGATGTTTGTTGGGTTTTTTTACGGTAGAAACATGTGAAAACGAAGGAGGGCATGACTGGCAAATACAAGCAAGTGGACGTGGCTTGGGCCTGCAAGCAAAGGGTCACCTCCAACCTGTTGGTCCACCTGAAGCAGGACACCTGCAGCTTCAGCTGAGACCACTCCCAAGTAGCAAGCGCTTGCTTCGATCCTGGCAGGTGCGATGCCAGGGATGGGCCATCGCTGTGAAGTGCGATGGCCCACTCTGTGTGGTACACGCAAGGAGAGTGGCACACGCATGCGTCCTTGGATGCACTTTTGAAGGACAAACGGATGCCATGGCCCCATCAAGTTGCATCCAAATTGGGATCCAGGACACCTGGATGCTCCATGTGGAGCACTGCATGGCACGTTTTGCCAATGGAAGATGGCTGCTGGAAGGCTTCCCGCAGCCAAACAGATGGCCCGCAACAGAGCACCTGACCTGCACCCTTCCAGGTACCCAAAGAGGTCAAATCAGAAAGCTCTGAAACGAGCCAGAAAGCTCTGTGAGATCAGCATCGCGAGAACACTCTTTCTGAGGTCAAATGCCTCAAGAAAAGCAAGGTGACGTGACATAGTAGTCATCCAGGCCGAGGTTATATATGTTTCCCTGAGTGGATATGTATGTAACATACACATGATGTGGGTTTGTATTTTTATTGGGGAGACCTCCAAGCAGTTTTGGTCTAATTCCTTGATTCCAGTGGGTCTTTGGGAGGTCGATACACACCCATGTACAAATGAGGCAATGAGGCACTGGGTGTCATGATCCTCGACCTGGGCGTTGGTCTGTTGAGCCCGGTCGTTCAATCAAAAACACACACCAGTTGAAAACACCACGACCACCCAAAGAAATCAGAAACACCTGTCCGAGAAAGAAAGGCACCCCACCTGGCGAGCTGCTGACAACTTCTCCACCCCAATGCCATGGCTATCTATGAGCCGCGGCCATTTGGGTCTGAACTTGAATGGCTTCAATCAAAAATAACTTCTGTAAGCTGCTTACCTCGGCCCTGGACTTCATCCTGTAATGAGGGCAAGTCCGAAAATGCACAGTTCAGAGCCTCAACCTCAAGCAAGCACGCCACACCGCCACGCCGCCACGCCGCCGCGCTTCTTTCATGCCGTCAACGACTCCCAAGCTCTCGACGCCTCGGACGAGTTGGGTGAAATCACCCGACGGGTTGAGTCGATCGAGAGGTGCTCACGAGAGGTGCTCAGTGCTCACGAGAGGTGCTTGATTCCCGTTTCCCCATGGCCCTTGACCGGTGTTTTTTGTCCATCCCCATGAGGCTCAAGGACTCATGCACAAACCAAAAAGCGCCCGCGCCTCTGCAGGAGTAATGGCATGCTGCATTTGCATCTGTTCATCTTTCTGGAACCTGCATCTGCTCAGCATTCCACAATGATATGATATGTCATCTCAGGAAATGGTCTTCAGTTGAACCGGAAACATGACACGCTCATAGAGGCAACAGAATGTACCAAGCCCCCTACACGTCCATCAGCGGCTCGCCCCGCATGTATCCTCTCTCCTGCAACAGCAAGCTCTCAAAACAAACAGTGTTCGGGAAACCACTGTGACGCTTCTCCACCATAGTTCTGGGCGAAAGTGGTTTCCAAACAGTTTGAAACTTCCCAGTCCTTTCCAATCTTCAAAATATCTTTCCATTTGCTGCCTCGGTGCCACCGCTCCGCAAACCCCGCACTGCCGACTGCCGACTGCCGCACTGCCGCTCTGCCGCACTGCCACACCCTCCGTCTGACGACGACTCGGAGGCCGACTGTAGCGGCTCAAATGTTCGAAGTCTCCCACGATCACCTGGGGATCGGTTTGTTTTTGGCATCTTTTGGCACTTTCCACAGTGGCCCCAATGCTGACCCGTCAGAAATGCAGAAGTTAAAAATTGCAACCCTTTCCTACTTGAAAACATCAAAAACTCGAGTCACCCAAATATATCGCTGTCAGACAAGTCACAAGACCAGCAACTGCTCGAGACCTTAATCGAGGGAGATCTTCGATTGAGGAGTCTCGATTTTGACTCGATGGCATTGTCTCCTAATATCTCCTCATATTCTCAGATCGACCCGCAGCAGAAGGGAGAATAAATGAAAGACCTGAAAGCCTAGTAGTTAGGTTTCCACTTTTTGAGACAAGCTCACTCTTTCAGTCACGGGCCCTGAGAACCAGGCACTGCTACATTCAATCGTCTGGGGTCAGCGAGGAAGCCGATTGGACGCCTGACACCTGGCAAAAATCCACGTCGAACCGGTCCAACCAATGACCAGTCTTGCCATGTCACAACCGATTGGACGCCTGGTCTTCACCGGCACAAAGCTAAGATAGTCACTTTGACCGAATATCTTATCACTGACCCAAAATTCAAGATACATGCAGAATGTGAGCCTTTCTTTTCTTCGAGGTGGTAAACAATGAAGCGCTTCTTTCTTGTGTCTAAGTGCACCTGCTACTTCCTGTACACTTCTGGCTTTAAACAGCGCCAATCGCGCCACTGCCAGTACAGGTCTGCAAACAAAAATCGTGCAGAGCAAAAATGACATCGGATTTCAAGGCACACAGCTCTTGAAGTGATGCCTTTGATCAGAGGCTCACACTCGTGATCCCTCTTGTCACCTGAAAACACCGCAGACACACTGTTCCAGCACAGAAGAATTCAGCCATCGCAAGCATGGCAAGTGCTCTTCTGGAGCCCACGGATCAACATCGGGCTGCAATAAATTCGTAGAAGAACACCACAAGGGAAAACATGCGTTTTGTTCATGGCTGCCAAGACTCTGAGAAGTCAATGGCACCCGCCTCGCTGGCCTCGCACAAGTACCCGGCACGCCGGGCGCGGCGCGGGGTGAGGCGGCGAAGCGGTCTTCGGCTTCGGTTCACCTAACGACCCTCTAAGAACCTTGGCATGCTTTAACTATGGAACGGGTCTTCCCTTTCCCTTTTGTACCACTCTGCTGACTCTGGTCGTGAAGAACATATCGCAAGTTCTGTAAGGCTGCTAAGTCTGTGTGATTCAAAAAGTGGCTGGCTCAGAACCAGGCTTTAGTAGGTGCACCATGAACTGCTCGCTGGATGCTTAGCATGATCTCTTCCAATGCGCCAGGCATATTCGACAGCTCAACTGCGACCTTGGTTATCAACAAACTCCAGACTCTTATCACAAATATGCACCATGTTTTTGCATTCTCTTCAAACCGAAACTAGGCCCCGATCATCTGCACAGTCCGATGA